TTGTTTCCTAGGAACCGACCTGCTTGAACCTCATATGCCGAATACGATTGGAGAGTCCACTATATATATATATATATATATATATATACATGAGATAAATATTAAATATTCAAGACAGGTATGTTCGGTTATTTTGTATTTGCTGTGGGTTATTATATAATATTGCATTGGCTGAAAAGTAGGCAAAATGTATGTTTTAAGAAACCGGAAAGCTATTTTAACTTTCTTTTTGAGAATCATCAAATGTAGTTCATCGAAATTTACATTAATGGTAAGGATACTTTTACTCTTTATATAAATTCTCTTTGTTTCAAATACCCTCGGAAATAAGCAAAGAAATCTCGTTACATTTTCAATTTTTTTTATTATTATTTTTAAGGTTAATTCTCTGAGTAAACTCTTTTCTATCCTCCCCTACAAAACAGCTTGACAAAGAATCCAGTATTTTTGTTCGTCCTATTTTAGTTGTGTAGAGCAAGTTTTTAGGAAGAAATAAATAGAAATACATTCCGTTGATTCTAAACGCTAAGCCCTTACTATGCAGATCCGTATACAGGTACTTTGAGATTATTATTAAAAAAAAATCCTCCCCCTTCATATCTTGACCTTCAAAATGGAAATTCAAAGATTATTTCGCAAGAATAGAAGGTAATTCTCTCCAGTTTAAATACAATTCTTCGTTTATTCCTTGTTTGCGTTTGATAAATGCTGACAACGTTTTCCAGAGAGAAAAAAAGTAAGTAACGCTTAGTCGAAAGTCGACATATTTTCAAATTGAATCGTTTTACATGGATTATTCAACTTGAGTCAATTTGATGTCAAGGATTTCAGCATTTGTTTGTTTGAGAAAATAAACTTATCACTGACTCAGTCCCATGACTAATAATTTTAGATATGATAAGCATATATACATTTACATAATACACATAGGCATTTATTTGAATATATATATGTGTGTGTGTGTGTGTGTGTGTGTGTGTGTGTGTGTGTGTGTGTGTGTGTGTGTTTTAAACGATTCTTCATAGATAAAAAGTCAAAACTGATTTTCAGCATTATATATAGTTATATCAATAAGTCCATAACCTAACGATGCTAAGAAGCATTTGCTTTACACAACATATATTTTTACAAAGTCTTCTCCCTTGAGTAGAAACTTAATCTATTAATGTTCACGGTTCTATTATTACGACGGTAGAATTAATGGGTTATATGCAGAAGTATATACGTATAACGGATATTTAGAAGCCTATATTTAATACGTGATGTTTAGATAGCTTTATTTAATATCGGATATTTAGAAGCCTATATTTAATACGTGATGTTTAGATAGCTTTATTTAATATCGGATATTTAGAAGCCTATATTTAATACGTGATGTTTAGATACCTTTATTTAATATCGGATATTTAGAAGCCTATATTTAATACGTGATGTTTAGATACCTTTATTTAATATCGGATATTTAGAAGCCTATATTTAATACGTGATGTTTAGATACCTTTATTTAATATCGGATATTTAGAAGCCTATATTTAACTAGAAGCATGGCCCGGCGTTGCCCATGCTTGATTCAAAAATCGTACGACTCATACAGCACTGCTCGCACTAACCTGTTTCTTCCCGCGCATAGCATTTAGGAAATACCCAACCGGAGAAACATTTTTAAGGGTTGACCGATTGTCCATTTGCACTCTGTTTGGGGGGGAGGGGTCGCTCAGAGTTGAAACTTCACATGGTGACTCCCAATGGCTTCCTCATAAATCCGATCGGTTTTCGCTAAAAACCGACATGCGGTTCAGGTGCAATCTGGGCGTATCGGCTTTTGGGTTTTATCGATTTTCCGCGCTGTTTAGGGGTCCGTGGTCATGAAACTTCTGGACAACACTTCTAATGGTGAACTCTAATAGGGTGTCAAATTTGGTTGAAATGCAATAATTCCTTCTGTAAGCAGATTTTTTCGATTATCGATTTTTTTCGGAACCTGAGTCCGAACTGAAAAATCAGGCTGCGTCATGTTCCTTAAGGCAGCCATTTGCAAACTTGTGTTGAAAACCGCATAGAAATCGGATGAGAAATGCGGCCTGGGCGAGGTAACAACGCCCACGACAGACACACAGACAGACAACATGAGAAATATAGATAGTAGATACGTGATGTTTAGATACCTTTATTTAATATCGGATATTTAGAAGCCTATATTTAATACGTGATGTTTAGATACGTTTATCTAATATCGGATTTTTAAAAGCTTAAATTTTAGCGCGTAATGTTTAGATAGCTTTATTTAAAATCGGATATTTAGAAGGCTATATTTAGTACGTAATGTTTAGATACCTTTATTCAATATCGGGTTTTTAGAAGCCTATATTTAATATATGATGTTTAGATACCTTTCTTTATTATCGGATTTTTATAAGCCTATAATTAATACGTGATGTTTAGATACGTTTATTTAATATCGGATTTTTATAAGCCTATATTTAATATGTGATGTTTACATACCTTTATTTAATATCGGATTTTTAGAAGCCGATATTTAATACCAGTTTTTAGATACCTATATTTAATGGAGGGTTTTTAGGCACCAATATTTAATAGTGGATATTTAGCTACCTATATTTAATTCCAAATTTTACGTACCAATATTTAATACCTGGTATTTAAATACCTATGTTTAATGCCGGATTTTTAGATAACTATATTTAACCAGGATTCTTAGATACGTATATTAGGAACCTATTTCAAATTGCGAATATTTAGATAGCTATTTTAATACCTGAATGTTTGAAACTTATATTTAATACCGGATTTTTAGACACCTATATTTAATAGAGGATTTTTAGACATCTATGTTTATTAGCGGATTTTTATCGACCAATATTTGATACAGAGTTTTTTAAAACCTATATTTAATCCCAAATATTTTGCTATCTACATTAAATACTGGATTTTTAGATACCTATATTTAAAACCAAATTTTCTCATACCTCTATATAACATTTGATTTTAAATTCCTCTGTTTAGTGCCAGATTTTAGGTATCTATAATTATACCCGGATTATTAGATGCTAATATTTAATACCGTATTTTTAGAAACCTATATTCAATATCAGAATATTAGATAGCTATATTTAATAACTGATTTTTAGATATCAATTGTTAAAGCTGGATTTTTAGACACCTACATTTAATATTGAATATTTAATATTGAATTTTTAGATACCTCTATTTTTATACCGGATTATTAGAAACCAATATTCAATACCGGATTTTTAGAAACCTAATATTTAATACTGTATCTTTAGAAACCTATATTTATACTGAATGTTTAGATAACTACATTTGATATCAGTTTTTTAGGAAGTTGTATTATATACCGGATTTTTAGATACGTAAATTAGTAAATAATAAATTTTAGATAAATATACCGGATTTTTAGATATCTATATTCAATACTGGATTTTTAGTAACCTGTATTTAGTAGCAGTGATTTAGGTATAATTAATATTGTATTTTTACTTGATTTTCTCTGATTAATACTGTTTTTTTATGGTGGGCATTAACCGGTTCATTCACTTCTGAATATTAATCTCATAGACCGGAAGTTATTCAGGATTCGTGTAATGATTGCGTGTGAAACTACGGACATATGGATTCACCTTTGTGAAAACTTCGCTTTTTTAAATCTGAAGAAACATCTGTTAAATGATTCTCAAATATTATCTCTTTTTTTCTTAATTTTCTTGCATCCTATCTTCTTGGAGAGACATACTGGATTAACAGGCTAACAAAATTCAAACGTGTTGACTCTTTGCCACTTTATTTCCTTCGTGTTGTTCACTTTGCTATTGCCTCGCTTCCAACTCTTTATTTACAGAGAATTCGTTTGTGTCCTTTCTCTCTTCACCTGAAAATTAGTTGTAGATCCGTTGACTGTCGTAATTTCTTTCCTCCTCATCTGACTTTGTTTGATCTTCCAGCTCCACTTTGCGGCTCACCAGGAGAGGTAACTAACGGAGGACGCAAGGGGCAAATCTTTCGCCACCCTGCAGTCGTGACATATTATTGCCATGAAGGGTACCAGTTAATTGGCAATCCTCGCAGACAATGCCAAGCTGACGGAAAATGGTCCGGTTCCCTTCCACTATGTAGACGTAAGTTTTTCTAAACTATTTGTTAATTTTTTCTTTTGTTTTTATGTTGTTAAGTCGGTAAGTAGCTTAAGCTTGCTTAGGATTTAATAAAAGTTGAGTCAAGTTATGCGACATACAGAATACACGCTTGCGTGATCTTGTCTCTTTCGATTTATGACTGACTATGCATAAGATTTCATCTGTGTCTTTCTATGGTAGACTGGATTACCAACCAAGGCTATAGGCTCCAGTCTATCCTACCATTCAATCCATAGCTCGGATAGAGAAGAGATGGATTCATAACTTTGCCAAGGGTATTTGCAAATATACATACATACATACATACATACATACACACATATATATATATATATATATATATATATATATATATATATATATATATATATATATATATATATACCGGGTGTAACAACAAAAATTGTCCTGTTTGCTTTACAAATTCGTGTGTGCACAATTAATGTATATGTGTATATCCATATTTTGCTAGTGATTGCGTTATTGATTGGCTGATTGTTTCATTGATTAGTTTTTCACGGTTTATCAATCCTTTACAGGCTATTTAAAACCAGAATGTTTAGAATTATTGGAAGATATAATAATTTTTTAGTGATATAAGTCTTATTAATTAACGTATAGTTAGGTTAGGAGCTAGGACTGAGGAATCGGTGAACAGAGTTCGAATTCCAGTTAAGTTCATTACATTCACTTATGTGCTAATACCCTTGGAAAATGTATAAATCTGTCTCTTCTTTCCTCTGCTGTGGATAAAATAGCAGGACATTGCTTTGGGTGGCAACCAATCTAGGAGAAGGAAACTCTGAATTCAAACTTGATCGCACTATCCTACACGTGTGTATGCACGTGGTTGGGGATCGCTTGTCCGTCCAAATTCACACTGAAACTCCTGCTATGGATTTTCAGGCCCGAACGAATACGACCCCTGCTACGCACGGCCAGCTTTCGTTCGGGTGCAGCGGGTTCGTTTGACGGAGCCGGCTCAGCCGACCCGATGAATGACGCTGCAAAGTAAAGCTATAGTTTGGGGTAAGGAAGAATGAAAATTAACATAAGAAATTGAACGTAGATTGAAAATCGACTCTCCGATTAATAATTTCGAACCATTATCCATAATCCATCCGCACATAGACGCTTACGCTCAACTATCTAGGTACTGACCAGGCTCGACGTTGCTTAACTTCGGTGACCGTACAGAAATTGGTGTTCCAACGTGATTTGATCATAAGCCTACCTGTACTTGTAACGTGTAATGTACCCACAAGAATGCAGGCAAACACACATACATACATACATTTGTTTGAGTTTTAAATAAAACATTGGATTTTCCTTTTCACTGGCTGAGTAATAAAGTCGGAAATTTTGAAAAGGAAAAAAAATTTAAACTCTACAAATTCAGATAATTTTAGGTTTTATTGAAATTTTCGTAAATTATTTAGTCATAAAAAGAATTATTTTTGTTAACATTGTTTTTATTTTCTTTTTCTTTTTATTTTGTTTTGAAAGAAATCCTTTTATGTCTGCCATTGAATTAAAATATAGATGCGCATGCGCAGACGTACTTACACACAATTTACGTGGAAGGGAAATGGACGTCTCTGATGCGAGGAGTAATTCCCTTTAGTGTCTGGCAACAACCACTAAATAACAGGAAAATATCATATAAGCTGAAGCGTACGGCACTTTGAAATCGCTTTTATGAGTTCTTCTGTATTTAAATATGAATTTGAATATATTTCCTAATAAATGTAGTATTTTAAATGAGTCAGCAATTTAGGTTTGAAATTTGATCATCTTTCTCTCTGCAAATTAATTTTTCGATATATTGAAGCATATCATTCCTTGTAAAGAAATTTATTATTTTGCAAACTTGGAATATTTTTTATATCTGCTTTGTTGTCTTAAATTTAATCTTTTTCCTATATTCTTAGTCTGTAGAATAACGTAAAACTCTCAGCCACTAAACATATCCAGAGCTTTTGTATTTCGATTTTATTTATTTTTCATTATTCATTGTTTTCTTTATTTATTTTTCATTATTCATTGTTTTCTTGCCAACAAGAAAACGTATACTGACAATCGGAAAAAACAGTTGATATTCTTGAAGCATAGAATGAAAAAAGACTGAAGAATTAAACACTTGCAGAACATATTGAAAACAAGATGAGAAAACAACAATTAACATATTTAATGGATTTGTGTCAATGAATAACAAAACAAAGAAAAAGAAACGTGGTTATAGTTTACTAATTATTAAGGGTAAAAAGAGAAGACGTTGTGGTGAACCATGATCGCCGAAATCCCAAAGAGATATGGAACGTAAAAGAACAATGGATTTGTATATATTAAGGTACCGTTTAAAAATAGATTACTAGCCGTTTTTCCCTGTTCCATAGACTTCGATATACCCGGGGAGTGTTCAGTTCTCTGAACCTTCCTTCCTCATTGTGTCCCATAAATTTCAACTACCTCTTTTTTTATTTTTAGTCGTAGTTCACGTAGTCGTAGTTCACGTGTAGTTTCTGTTAACATTAAAAGTTTCTCGTTTTTCACATAATTCTGTTCGTAGTGTTCTTAGTATTCATTAGTAGATCCCCCATCTCTGCCATTTCAAATCTCTTTTACAGCTGTGAATAGATTGCCCAGTATTTATTCCAGTCAGATCGTGATTTTTATATGGATATCATGCATAACGGCATCCCGTTCAGATGTATCTAGACTATTAACTGCGTACAGCCACTTTCTCAGACCAACGATTAGAAGTGGTTTCAAGCAAATGAACCCTGTTAGAGAGAAACTTTCTTCTTCGAACCACGTTTGCTGGCGCTACATAATCACAAACGAAGTACTGTACTAAATAACAGAAATCACCTCATTTGAGGACTTTCAACAGCATCTAAACAGGATAGTATGTATAACTGAAAGAGAAAATAATGCCGTAATTCATATGTTGACATTCCACATTACTTCAAACAAAAGCTGAGGAAGGAAATGCTGGAAAGAGAATTAACATTTAGTGGGCTTGAGAAACCTATTTCCTGAAAAGATGTTTTAAGAGAAAAATTTTATAAATTTCAATTGATAGTAATACTAAATTTTGGGGCAATTAATGCTGATTTTTTTCCATGTAAGGAAATAATATCACCATTACAATTACCATGGAACCAGTGGTGACATTCTACCTTTTCGCTCGAACCGATTTTTTAAATTATAAAAGCTTAGCGAACCGGATGTTTGATTTTCCGAAAATAATCTTATATATTAATAGCCAATGATCGAGGTAAAATATTAGTTACGCTACGCTCCTGCCTGCGCCTAGTAAAACTCTAATTGAAATTACCGTTTTAAGTTAAAAATGAGGCATAATTTAGTTATAAATTTAATAGATCCTCCACTGGATCTTTGATACTGCAGCGATTCAGTTTGAATGTAGCTAAGAAACTATAACACAGTTGATAACACTAGAGTGAAAAAGCATCAAACTTCTGAGCAGAAAAATGAGAACAGAGTTTTAATCTGGAAATATCTTAATATATAAATGTTTTCTATTAAATTATCAAAATGGTTTAATTCTCTTTGATACTATAAAGCAATTTGTTTCCATTCTCAGATTGAAAAGAAAATAGATTCCTAAAGATGACTTGCTTTTATAAAATCGGTTCCTGGAAACTTAGGATGAAAAACTGCAAATAACTGTCCAGAAATCTTTTCTTAACTCTTAAATGTTTGATTCTCTTAAATATTGTCAGGTAATGTTGCGCAAAATTCATAAATAGCAAACATTAGAAGAATGAAACTAAAGTTAGGAAAATAAAAAATGTTATATTGACTTAAACTACATAAAATAAAGTGATGATCTTTTCAACGGGAATCACTCGATTAAATTGCGTGAATATCTCATAATAAGCGTCTTTACTTTAGCTCGGAATTTAATTAATTCCTAATAGGTCGTCTAATTTATTTTCTATTGATTCTAATCTTTCAGGTCAATTTCCAAGCCATAAATGAACCCGTAGTTTTTGAATCGATTTTCTCGTTCATTACTCTTGATTTTTTTCTCCCCCTCATTACTATCTGTTTATTTCTTTTCAATAGCTGTCAGATGCCCTCAATTAGAAATCCCATTCCAAGGAATGAAAACAGGCTCTGGAAACAGCTATAATTCTATCGTGAAGTTTTCCTGCAAAGAAGGCTATAAAATCGTCGGTTCTGCGGAGAGACGATGCATGGCTAATGGCCAGTGGAGTGGCCAAGCACCACGTTGCGAAGGTCAGTATAAATATTATATTGGGTTGAGTCATAAATAATTTCCGTTTACAATTAGATTTTATTCAATTACATATCCACCATATTGACTTATTGTCACTTATCAGGAAAATCTTTGATAACTTCTGAGTCAAATGACACAGATTTCGATGTGGAAATCTTTCGACAAACGCTTGAACTTTGCTTTCATTACAAAAACGTTTTCTTCGGTGTGTTAATAAAATAAGCACATCACATCTCCCCTCTCGCTTGTAACCACCCAACATATAGAAATAAATATTTTTCGTCACTAAAAACTGAATTACTCAAATAAAGCTTCCACTTGGTGTTGTTACTGCATTAAACTTATGAAAGCGTTTTGCAGCGATCGAAAAAGTTAGCAATTGTTTGTTGCAAGGTCAAGTGAATATGACATGTTACGTAGAACAAACCAACCGAGATCCAAATCTGTTCCTTGTGTTATTCTTCCTGTATGCAGTCTTACGTTATCCTTGAAGAGAGCAACATTTGTTTCCTATTGAGTGCATCTGCTGAACATATAAAAATGCATTTCAGTCCTGGGTATGACGATAAACTATATCCAGCAGCAATTGTTTAATCCAAAATATTTTTATTACAACAGGTTACAACTGCTGAACATATAAATGTGCATTTCAGTCCTGGGTGTGACGATAAATTACACCCGGCAGCAATTTTTAATCCGAAATACTTTTTATTACAACAGGTTACAACTGCTGAACATATAAATGCGCATTTCAGTCCTGGGTATGACGATAAGCTACATCCGGCAGTAATTTTTTTAATTCGACATATTTTTATTACGACAGGTTGCAGCTGCTGGACGTATAAATGAGCATTTGTTGTTCCAGTGAGCTTTAAAAACTCTAAATCAATAATATCCAGACAATGCTACCATATGCACAGCATTACCGTTCTTCCTTGGAACTCAGCTTTTGTGGTTGTTTATGTAGATTTATCTTTGTCATTCCAATGTATTTTGCGTTGGGTAATATCGTATATAGCAAATAATTCCTCACCTGTTAAAGAACGATTAGTTTGAATGATACTTGTTCGTTACAATTGGTTCCCAAAAACCGAAATTACTTGTGACTCAACCTAACACGTACTATACTCATTATAATCTAATGTTCATTCTTTTTTGCTGTAATTATAAACAGTACTTGAATTTTAAAATAATCGTGATTTTTCTCATGTATCTTTTTCTCTCAAAAATTGTGGCTATTTGATAAATTGCATGTAACGAAGACGTGCAAACATATTTGCAATCTGCTTATTTGGAAGATGCAAAAGACATTTGAAATACTTCCAGTGTTAAACCTTGATTTGAGCATGTAACAAATCAAAGATTAGCAGATTGTCGTATTTCAATACAAGGTTTTAAAAAATAAGGAAGAAATATAAGAAACAAACCTTTATTTACTGCTATTTACAAAAAGGCATTTATCAAAACGAGACCAACATAGATAGGAAGAAAATATATAATCACTATAAATGGCAAAACGAAACAAAAAAGAGAACAAAAAATATAAATAAAAAGCGGGAATGAAAATAGAAAAAAAAACTGACTGGTTCTCGTTCCTCTCTTTTCAGTTGTGTACCACGACAAAATGAACCGATAAGCAAACTTACAATTTGATGATAAGAAATACACATCCTATTATCATTATACATGTCTGATCGTTACGTCTTACCAGTACTTCATAAATAATGACTATTCCGTTTTGGTCGCGTGGAAATAGAAAAAATTACTTTGTTACAGACATATCCCCATAAACTTTGTCTCTTCCTCTATAACCACCTACCTCGAGTGGCTCTTGGTTGGGTAATTGTTTTTTATGTGCATGTCAACACCGCTATGGGTTATTTAATGCCGAAATCTTAATATTTTGCACACTTTTTATTTGGCTTCAACTAAATATATTTTGAACGCAATTATATGCTTTCAACTACAGATAACATGTATTGTTGGTCATTTTGTTATAAAATGTATTGTTGGTCATTTTGTTATAAAATGTATTGTTTATAATTCTAACATAAAATGTGTTGCTGGTTATTTTACTATAAATATGTATTGTTGGTCATTTTTATATAAAAATTTATTGTTAGTATCTTTACTATAAAAATGTAATTTTATATTTTTATGGTTGTTTATTTCTCTTTGGGAGTTCACTATTTGCCCATAGCTGGGACCCTAACGGGTGCTATCATCCTGAGCTGGTTTTGGACTTTGTACAGGGTGAACATCATTGTAAAAAAAAAAACTCATCAATACGACAAGGCCTTTGAACAATAGAGTTTAAAACAATGCCTAAAATTATTTGATTGATCAGTCATACATTTTACGTCATATATGTTTTATATAATACAAAATATATCTAGTTCAGTATAACTGGATATCAGCGTTTCATCTGAGAAAGGTCGTGAAAAATTCTTCCCTGACAATAAAATCTGCTTGTTATATAAAATCTGTCACAAACGTTCGCATGAAGCGTCCGAGACATGAATGCGTTCATAATTATTACAATTAATAAGCATTTGTAGCTTTTTAAATGATCTACAGCCTCCAATTTATCAACTACAATCGAGCAATACGTACAGCGTGTTTATAATTTTCAGCGAAGATTGCGACTTTAATTATTCTCATGAAAAACAAACATGCCAATTGTTCAAAGGAAGTAATCCTCTTTAATGGCAAATTTCTGTCAGGAATAATTGTTACATTTTTCCAATAGCTGTTTTAACAATTACGTACGTTTTTTTTATAACAGCATAATAACTACTGTTCGACTTATGATGAACAATCAAATAAATCGTAAATTTTGCGCAATTATTTCATTACAAAAGTACACACTCCAATTTGTCAGTAGATACTTTTTGATATGACCTTAGAGCGTAGATTAATCGTGCAATTAACAATAATCTTTAGTTAAACTATTGAATTCAGCTGAATGCTGTACATATATACATATATATATATATATATATATATATATATATACATATATATATATATATATACAAATGAGAGAACAAATGGATTAAAAATCCACATTAAGAGAACATTTACTTTTTTTAAAAGTTCTCAATACAAAGTAGAGCAAAATATTATTATTATTTTTGTTATAAGAGGATATAAGAAAAACATTTTGAAATCGCTACACAAAAGCTTTCATGTCTCAATAATATGATTGTACTTCCTCAGGTGATGATACATAACTGGTGATAAACTGAGTTTTTAACGAAATTTAAAAACAAATCGTTATCTCTATTCCTAAAGTTAAATGGGTGGTGTATAAGGTCAGAAATTAAAAATAGACTGGTATGTATGTATGGGTATAACCACAAGTCTATTTTATAATTATATATATATATATATATATATATATATATGCTTGTTTTGGAATTTTTTTCTTTGGACTCTGAGCTTGAACTCTAGACGATTGTTTTCGCCTCAATTTCATTTTCTTAGTTCTTTCTTTTTTATTCCTGATTTTTCCTTGGGTACTGGTTTGTTCTACTACAAGCCGAAATACGCAAGGTTTTTACAAGCAAGTACCACCATTTATAGATAGATAGATAGATAGATAGATAGATAGATAGATAGATAGATAGATAGATAGATAGATAGATAGACTTGTGGGTATATATGGGTATAACCAAAAGTTTATATTACAACATATATATATATATATATATATATATAACATAAAGATTATATATATATATATATAGAGAGAGAGAGAGAGAGAGAGTGAGAGAGAGAGAGAGAGAGAGAGAAATTACATGCAACGAATTCACGAATGTCGTCAAAACATCGGCCCTCCATTGTTAATCCTTGTATATTATAAAGTTTCCAGATGTGAGTCTTTAAATAAATATTCCGTTTTCTGCATTCCGTAAGAAGGATAACATTTTGCTAAGCTATTTGTATTATTAGATGTTCTTATGTAAGTCTTTAGATATAGAAATCTATTAGTTTGCCTGACATTAAAAATGGCGGCATATATTGTTAAGTCTTTAGAAAGGTTTCACTTTTTCTTTTTTACAGTTTTCCCTGTACAAAGCCCAGGGGCCACTCGAGGTAGAGGGTTACGTTAAGGGGCAATTTATATGGACAGGAGGGAAGATAATGGTTAAATAGTTTAAGATTTTTAGTGATCGGGAAAACATCCTCTTAGGGTACTGTTCTGCAGAGAATCTGTTTGAGTTGAACTAACTTCTCACCAATGGAATACGAAGAGAATGGGAGAGGTTTGCTACAATGGAAGTGGCATGGCAGGCCCTAGTCCTGAAAGTAAGAAATGTGCAGCCCCCGCCCAAATACGGTAACAATAGTCCATTTTTGGCCTGATCTGGCTTTATAAAGATAGAGGGTAGCATGAGGAGTCAGGTACTTACTGACGCGGTACAGGAAGCCTATCATTTTACTTGCAACTTTAGCAATGGATCGTATATATATGAGTTCCAGTTGAGGTCAAGTAAGTGTTGGAGACCCAATATTCTCTTAAGTTACGGTGCCTCCTTCGGGGCAACAACCGCTCATTGTGACTGACGGTGATTCGGAGTCCGAATCTTTAAATATACAAATATACTAATTTACCAATGTCATAAGAAATGACGGTATATTTTGTAAAGTTTTTTTTTCTATTATTACAAGTTTTCATATTTTTAATTATTTTACCTCAAGCAAGGCAATAAAGCCACTAAGACACAAGGGAGTTACTGAATGTGAAAGAATAAGAAAACTAGAAACATTACTAAGTAGCAAGAACAATAGAATAATGAAGACTGACTTTGCATTTAAATCTTTGAAGGTCAAAGTTGTCTGGAAAACAAAAAGACGGGGTTGGGGAGAGTTGTACAGGTGAGAAGTGCGAGAAAAGAAACTGTTAGAATAGAACTTTCATGAAGCCAATTCAACTGTAAAATGATGAGACCTTTTTGCCAATCTAGTACTGCGCTTATGTTAATAAAGTCTATATATGATAGAGTAAATCTCAACAGGACAATTACCATGAAAGTATTTATAGAAATAGGCATAGAAAAGGTGCATTACGGCGGTGTGAAAGTGACCGCAGCCGGAATGCCAGGTCAGGACCAATAGTATTGCAGATTCTTTTTTCGATTTTATCAAGAATCTCTAAAAAAAAAGTACCAGACCAGATGTGGCAGCAACACTAGTTTATTCATGCCGTTTGAAATGATAGATTATTGTTATTAACGTCTAACTACATTCTCTCATGTTTACCGTTACTGATAAATATGACTAGTTTGCTTAGTCCCTATTTGAACGTTATCAGAAAAGAATCTTTAAATACATAAATATACATTCTTCTCCACGCTGTTCTAAATGAGCCTATATTTTAAGTCTTACTATTGTTAGAAGGTTTTATCATAGGAGTTTTTAATATATACATATGATACCTGACTAACGCTCTCAAAAATAAGCGTATATTTTAGTTCAGTAACTGCTTATGGTTAATAATTACCACCAGTGAGTCTTTAAATACGCTTTTCACATATTATTTTTGTATTTTGCTCTTTCACGGACTTGGTCTTTCCATCTGTCTAAGCATTTTGTAATAGTCTACTTTTGTCCTAACATACACTGTCACCCGGCGTCGTCGGTGAAAAGAGGATGATTCTCATACAAAAATATTTCAGACAGAACAAAGCAAGTATAATAAATGCACTTGACTTGATGTAAAGAAAGAAAAAGGACACACATTATAAAAGCTAATATGCGATGTTATGTATATATCTGGAGATTCTTAATAAAATCCAAAAGTTTGTAATGTTATCGAATGTTATCGATCTTGACAAGATATCTCGACTTCAGTCACTATCTCACCGACGTAACCTGGCTTCCCTCTGCCTTTTCTATAAATATTTTCATTGCAACTATTTTTAAGAGCTTTTTTTGCCTGGTGCTGCAACTAAATGTATTTAAGCATGCTACTAGATTAGCAACAATGCCTTACCGTTTTATTACTGAACTAGTTCGATGCAACCGCCTCTTTTATTCTAACAATTTCTTTTCTCGCACTTCCCACCTGTGCAACTCCCTTCCGCTTCCTTGCTTTCTTGATAAATACAATCTTCAAAAATGAAAATGCAACGTCAATCACCATCTCCCTGTCTTCTTGAATCACATTCCTTTTTTGACCTTTTCCCATTCCTCACCATTTTCAATCTTCTCGTTCTCTTTCACTTTCACCCCCTGTAACCCCCCCCCCCGTGTTCTAGTGGCGTTGGTTAGTGTGAAACAATTAAATGAAAAGACACATCGAAAAGAAAGTCGTCATATAAAATGTTTTGACTGAATTTCAAATAGCAACCGATCTACTCACAGGTAGGACTTACTGCGTATGTTGTCTGAATAAAGATATGACAGAATAAGAAGAAAATAAATTCTTTTAAAACTTGAAGAAGATTGATCAGTCAGAGAATTTTTAATGTATTATGAAGCTTGTTATTTGTTCAATTTTCTTATAATTAATTTACCAAACAAAATATCTTTTAATCACGAACAACGCAAAAAGCAACAATCGAGACATTTTTTTCTGATTTCCATCCATTGGCTTTCTTTCAATAATACTGCACATTAGTTTGAATATCAGAATTTGAATTGCAAATTCGGATATGAACATGTATGGCAAAAAATACTTTGTAGTGACTTGTGCTTTTAATTTCGAATTGAAAATGCATCTAAGATATTCACTTTGCAACAGCAATGTTATCCTCATTGCTTGATATTCATGGCTTCGTCTACTCACCTCTTTGAATGATCTGACAATAGGGGATAAAATATGTCGACTACACCCCTTGTAAAGGGGACCACTTATGGGTGGATACTTGCTGACTCAGGTAAAGACGACCACTGTTTACGTTCCGATTCAAGTATAAACCTGACCAACATATACCCACACCCTCAATTAAACTCAGGTATAACTTTGACGAATGGTTACTAATAGGCCCAAATATAAATCCCACCAATCTTTCCTATTCACTCAGTGGTTCGGAATGTGAATTCGGAGAGCCGAGTTCGAAATTTGCTCGGATTTTTATAGTCATTTATGTCCAAATAACATCGGGGAACATAATGAATCCAAACTTTTCCTTTTTTTTGTAATTGTTTGTTAAGATGAAAAGAAATGTGATTTCTTCGTGTGTATGAATGAGAAAAAAAATGCAAGGGAGAACTTGAAGAGGAAAGTATAAGTGTAACGTAACTTGGTGAGGAATACGGGTGAATAAGTAAGGGAATTTCTTTTAAGTCACCGTCATGAAATTTTATCGCATGTATCTCCTTACTGGCTTGTCTGGCCTATAAACTTTGTTTGTACTCTTCAAAGGGATCACGAAGATTTTTTTTTTATTGTTCTCAGCGGGAACGTGACCCGTTGGTTGAAAAATATTAAATATTTATTTTCAAATGATTAATTTATTACCGGAAGTATGTGCGAAACCTCTGACTCAGAATCTAATTTTTCATTTGGTGTTCGACTGCTTTGCTGTTTATTTCCGTCTTTGCTACAAAAGCCGTTTTTCGAGTTACCACATTTGTCAGAATTAAAAAATAATAAATTTTTATCATTTTAGAAGAAAGTTCCTGTTCATATTATAAATACAGTGTCAAATCGATCCATTACTTCTTAAAGTATTATCTGTAACTTGGTTTTATTTACAATACAATAATACGTACTATTAAGAATTTGGAAAAAAAAGGACATAATCTCGAGCAAATAGTTATCAACAACGTCACTACTATTTCAGACTTGACTTTTGTAAACAAAAAACAAAGAACAGGTAATACAGACGTTAGGGATCGATTTCAAACAGTATTTATATCATGAAAAGGACCCCCCTTTCTAAAATGATAAAATATCTATATTTTCTTTTGTCATAAATGTCGTGAAATGAGGAAAGTCTAATAAATGGTAATCTACAAAATTTATTCCCTAAAAAAATTCCCTGTTTCTTTTGATTGGACCAATTAAATAGTGTTGAAATCAGATAACGTAAACAGGAAGTAGAACATCTTCTAAGAGGCTATAATATTCAGTTGATAGATAAAAAAAACTTTGGGGAGTCACTCACTAGATTTCGGAGAATCGACTAAAAATTCGAAGGCTGTGTCTCTTTTTCAAAACTAATTAAATAGCTCACCTCGGGCTGGAGGGGGCGTTCTCTTTCTTAGCGGTTTTATCATATATTCAATATATTCTTTTTGTAAGAATCTCACCCTAAGCAAATCGGGAGTGCCACTAGCAGACAAAGGGGTTACAAGAGAGTGAGAGCAAAAGTAAAGAGGGGGGTGTTTAAGGAAAGGATAAAGAAGAGGACGGGGATCAAGACCAAGGCATCAGATGATGTCGATTGACATTACATTTGAATATTTGACGATTATAGCTATCAGGGAAGCAAATAAGAAGAAACGATTTATACTGTTGGGAAGTGCGACAGAAGACGCTGTTGGAATAGAAGAGGCGGTTACTGAGATTCCAATCTAGTAGCACGCTTAAATTCTTGTAGTTGGGGAACCAGTGAAGGTAGCTCGTCAGAGCAGTTGCCATGAAAATATTTGTAGAAAAGACAGAGGGAAATCATATCACGTCTGTGAGAAAGTGACT